GGAAGGCAGGATCCATCCTATCGGCCTCTTAAGTGCACAAAGGAACAAGAAATCAGAAAGAGAGAAAGGCCAAGAGAGTTAAGGGGGAAAAAAAAAAAAAAAAGACTCGAGGAGGGGGGTGGACCCTGAGTTGGGAAGCAGGGACTCCTGGCTTATTTCGGTCCCTCCTCCACGCTCCCCCCTACGCCTTTCAACGCCCAAACTTAAATCATTTGCTGTGAAACCAGCGGCCAAGGGCCTTAAAGCATATTGAACCACTGAAGGACCCCCTAACAAGACAGAAAGGGAAGACCCTGCTGGCTGTTAAGACTTGGCAAATGTACCTAGGCTCCCCCTGCAGGCGACATTCTCTGAGACCCACTATCAGTGCCGAATGTCCCTAGAAGGCGTTGGATTTGGATTCCTGAGAAGTGATATATATACGTTGGTACTCAAAAGGCCTGTGATTGAGGGGAAAACCCTCCCTGAGCAAAGCTTGAAAATACTTGTTTTGCCAGGGCGGGTTCACTGGCCAATAGTCCTGTTTGGACATTAGGCACGGAGTAGGGGAGACAGGTAGGGGGAAGACTCACTCCACGCTGACACCGCACCCCCACCCCTGCTAACTGAAGATAAATCGCTTCCGTTCATTGATGCACAAGATTAGAAAATGCTGTGCTGAAAGGCAGCACAGAGATCAACTGAACCATCTCCCTTATATTGTAGATGAGCAAACTGAGACCTAGAGAGGTGAAGTGGTTATTCCAAAGATTAGTAACAGCGTCCATGGAATTGACACACACCTTGGAAAATGCGCAGTTATATCCCTGACCTCTCTTCCTAGACTCCAACTCCAAACCCCTAATCTGATTCTGTTTTCTCAGGAAGAGTACATTGATTACTGGAAATTCCTTATGGATTCACTTTCAACATCTCACCAGACATCTACCCTGGCATTTGAGTGTGAGTATTTGCATTCATTGCCTGCTGCTTTAAATTGTGCAAGGAGCTCTGGTGGGGCTATGGTTAAGGCATTAGGCTGCTAACCAAAAGGTAGGCGATTCCAACTCACCAGCTGCTCACAGGAGGAAGATGAGGCAATCTATTCCCGTAAAGATTTATAGCCTTGAAAAGCCAATAGGTGTCGCTATGAGTCAGAATCCACTCCATGGCAGTGGTTTGGTTTGGAAGATTCTTTGCATACAGTCAATTACAGGTTTAGGAAGCAGTATAGTGCCTTGAAGTCAAACAAATTTTGGTTCAAGGACTCCACCCACTGCCATTCCTATTTGTAGCAACCTTCTAGGACAGAATAGAGCTGCCCCATAGAGTTTCCAAGGTTGTAAATCTTTACGCAAGCAGATTGCCACTGCAGAATGGCTGATGGGTTTGCATTGCTGACCTTTCAGTTAGCAGCTGAGCACTTTAACCACTGTGCCAACAGGGCTTCTTGGTTCAAAGACAATCTCTTCCACTTTCTGTTAGAACAGAAGAGGGTTTGCCCTCTTCTTTGCCTATAGGGCTGTTTGTTCCAGTAGTGTTTGCTGAGACTGTATTCTGAAAGAAGGATTTATTAGAAGAGGTTAAGAAGCATATACTGAAGTACACATTCCACTGTGACACTTGAATTTGATTCCAGGTCTGCCATGACTTGCAGTGTGACTTTGAGTATGTCACTCCCCTTTCAGTTTCCTCATCTGTAAAGGTGAGCTCATTTGTAAGGATGAGATCTTATGGATCTCAAAGATGAACTCTTAGGCTTTTCAGAATGTGTCCTGAGGGATTCTGGTAAGTGCTTTGGAATAGGAGAAGAAGTAGTTGCTGGAGACAGAAGACCTTCTTGAGGGATAGCAAAGACTGCCCCAGGTCTGCCCTAAGGCTGGAAGGTGGAGGTTTCTCCAAGTCCACCCCTTCAGGACTGAAGGACTCCCAATTCTCAAACTGCTTCTCTGAAGTGCAGACATTTAGTAGGGGTCCTGGGAGCTGGAGAATGAGCTCCAGAACCTTGAAAATCACCATGGACACCGGGTTCTGGATGCTCTGGGAATGTCACAGAACTCCAAGTAGGGAACTGATGTCAGATGAATCATGCAGTGGTGACTTCAGTGGTGACAGTGACCTCATCTCTTTGGCCCATAGAAATGCCCAAACTGACTGCCAGGAATACTTAGAGCTCAGAACCAATCACACCCTCTGGCTTAGTTATCTAGTGCTGCTGTAACAGAAACACCCCAAATGGGTGGCTTTAACAAGCAGAAATTTATTTTTGCACAGTTTGTTGTTGTTGTTGTTATGTGCTGTCGAGTCAGACCCAACTCATAGTGACCCCTCCTTGGGTTTCCAAGGCAGTATCACTACAGAAGTAGATTGCCCAACCTTCCTTCTGAGGAGTGGCTGGTGGGTTTGAACCACCAGCCTTCTGGCTAGCAGTCAAGTGCCTTAGGCACTACGCTTCCAGAGCTCCCTTTGTTTAGGAGGCCAGAAGTCCAAATTCAGGGTGCCAGGTCTAGGGAAAGGCTTTCTCTCTGTCGGATCTGGAGGTAGGTTCTTGTCTCTTTGAACTTCTGCTCCTGAGCAATCTTCAAGTGGCTTGGCATAGCTCTTCCCAAATCTCTGCTTTTCTCACTTGCTTGTTTAATCTCCTTTATATCTCAAAAGCAATTAACTCAAAACACATCTTACACTAATCCTGCCTTATTAACATAACAAAGACACCCATTCCCAAATTGGATTATAATCATAGGAAGAGAGGTTAGGAACTACACTACATATTTTGGGGGGACACAATTCAATCCATAACACCCAACATGTATGTGTGGTAGGGAGAGAAGAATTCTCCCGGATGCCCCCAGGTCAGCCCAGGAACGTTTTAGCTGCTAGACCAAACCAATCTGACCTAACGGAAGACCTCACTTTTCCATGACAAAGAAGATAATGCCCTGTGGTAAAAACAAAACAGTTCTCAAATTTGAAGGCTTTGAGACAGGAAGCTACTTTGTTTCACATCATCTCAGAGATACCCAGCTTTCCACTCTCCTTTAGTTTTAATTGTGCAAGTGGAAGCAGACACTGGACAGCATGTATTGTTAGGTGCCACTGAGTTGGCTTCAACTCATAGCGACCCTATGTATAACAGAAGAAAACACTGCCCAGTTTTGCACCATCCTCACAATCGTTGCCATGCTTGAGCCCACTGTCACAGCCACTATGGCAATCCATCTTATTGAGGGCCTTCCCCTTTTTTGCTGCCCCTCTACTTTACCAAATACGATATCCTTCTCCAAGGACTTGTCATTTCTGATGGCATGACCAAAGTATGTCAAACGAAGTCTGGCCTTCTCAGTTCTAAGGAGCATTCTGGCTGTGTGCTTCCTCATCATATTTTGAATGCCTTCCAACCTGAGGGGCTCATCTTCTGGCACTGTATCGGACAATGTTTTCCTGCTATTCATAAGATTTTCAGTGGCTAATTTTTTCAAAAGTGGACCTAGCCACATCCTTCTTCCTGGTCTGTCTTAGTCTAGAAGCTCTGCTGAGACTTGTCCACCATGGGTGACCGTGCTTGTATTTGAAATACCAGTGGCATAGCTTCCAGCATCACAGCAACATGCGACCCACCACAGTACAACAAACTGACAGAACAGTGGTGGAGGTCAGCGTGACAATATTGGAATTTCTTCTCAGCCTTCTCCTTCTCTCTCCTTACTTCTTCCCTCCTCTCTCCATTGATTCATTCACTACTTCATTTAGCAAGCATTTATTGAGGTCTACTGGATTTCGACTCATAGCAACCCCTCCTTGGGTTTCCAAGGTGGTACCACTACTGAAGTAGATTGCTCAACCTTCTAGAGGAGTGGCTGGTGGGTTTGAACTGCCAGCCTTCTGGTTAGCAGTCAAATGCCTTAAGCACTACGCCACCAGAGCTCCTGTACTGGATGCCAGGCTTCATTTCTGAGCAGGGGATGAGGAGCTGGAAAGCCACCAGCAGTGGAGGGGGAGAGAGAAAGGAACATTAAAAATTAGTATATAATGTGGTCAGTTTTGTGACAGAGGATAAAGAACAGATTTCTCGAAATGCTGAGGAGGCAGTTAGTACTTTGTTCCAGATACACTAAGGAAGGATTTACAGAAGAGCTGTCCTTGGCCTGGGGCTTGAAAGGCTAATAGGAGGTTGTTGTTGTTAGGTGCTACCAAGTCAATTCCCACTCACAGTGACACTATGTGCAACAGAAGGAAACATTGCCTGATCCCTCCCCAGCCTCACAGTTGTTGCTACTTTTGAGCTCTTTCTTGCAACCACTGTGTCAGTCCATCTCATTGAGGGCCTTCCTCTTTTTTGCTGAGC